AAAAAAAGCCATGGCCTTGGGAAAAAAAGGGAGGTTAGTGAAATCCATAAACTCCTGTGGACACGTTTAAGTAACTGATGAGACGGTTAAAAGAAACTCTAGATACTAAACATCTACCTTTACTCTTTTAACCTATCACTACTTGATAACTTTTTGCAAAGCATTAGGAATTTTTCTTAGCAAAATGCATTCTTATCATTAGCCAAATTTACATTTTTAGCCGATGGAATAGTTATCTCAAATTTAACGCGACTCCCAATTCCTGATCCCTGCCCTTAACTGCCACCCCAGACCTCTTTATTTCAGTTAAACACGACCCTATTTGCTTCAACAACAGACCTAGAAAGTCTCCATTTTTCCTGTCCCGTTTCCGTTAGAGTTATCTCAGCTCCACCACAAAAACATATTGTGAATACATTCCCTTCGCCCCATTTTTTGTGTTACCTTCGATCCTAGACACCATCACTTTTCATCTGGGCACCTCAGTGGAATCCCCACGGTTTGCACTTTTCATATCCCCTCTTTAAACACAACCCATTCTCTGCCTAGCAGAGTGATCTTTTAAACATGTAAAGCAAGCCAGGCATGTTGGCTCACGCCTGTAATCCCAGCATTTTGGGAGGCAGAGGTGAGAGGATTGCCTGAGCCTAGGGGTTTGAGACCAGCCCGGACAACTTGGTGAGACTTGGTCTTTACAATAAATCAAAAAATGAGAGTGTGGCGGCGCACACCTGTGGTTCTAGCTACTTGGAAGGCTGAGGTGAAAGGATTGCCTGAGCCCAGCAGGTTGAGGCTGCAGTGGCCGTGTGTGCCACTGCACTCCAGCCTGGGTGACAGAGTGAGACTCCAACTTGAAAAAGAAGAGAAAAAGAAAAAAAAATGAAACGACAACAAAAGTAGATTACTCTTCTGTATAAAATCCCTCCACCCATACTTTCTCAATGCATTTGAAATAAAACCCCAATCCCTGGGTCGAGTCTTGCCACCATCCTCCTGGTTCTAAATATTCCCCACACTTACTCCTTTCTGACCCTACAAGGTGACGCAGTGTTCCTCTACCGCGTGGAGTCTTTCCTCTTGCTGTTGTCACCGCCTGAAGTGCTCTTCCCCAAGATCTCAGGTCTGGCCTCCAGGCCTGGCCTCCACAGTATCTCAAGGTGGCCTTCCCTGGAGAGAGTCATCTCACATAATCCTCCTTCCCAGCACAGACCCTACTGATTACCTTCAGAGCACTTGAATCTCTGACACAAACCTTTCTGGTTGCTTGTCTCTCTACTTCTGATAATTGAACTCTGAGAATACAATGTCTATTGCTTTTATCTCCAACACCAAGAACAGCGCCTGGCAGGAAGCTAAGTACTCAGTAATTATTTCAAAGAATGAAATTAAATGGCAAGTCATTTTCCCCTTCGTAGATGTCTATAAATTATAGACAAAAAGCAGAAGACAGTGGCAATCTCGACCCTGATTACAGTACGTGTGTGTGATTTGACCAAGTTAGCTTAGTTGTGGGAGTTTTTTGAGTCCTCACATATTGCTGGAACGATCTGTCCTCAGTCCTCTGATTTCTCATCACTTTTGTATCTTATAGTGGAATGACTGAGGAAGGGCTATAATATAATCAACACTAGTACCAGACTGTTTTGAAAATACTCTGGTTAAAAAAAGGTAGGAAAATTGTAGCAGGTGCGGTGGTTCAAATCAGATGCGGTATAATCCCAGCACTTTGGGAGATGGGGGAGAGAATGCCTGAAACCAGGGGGTTGAGACCAGCCTGGGCAACTTGGTGAGACCTTGTCTCTACAATAAATCAAAAAATTAGCCAGGCGTGGTGGCTTGTGCCTATAGTTCCAGCTACTTGGAAGGCTGAGGCAGAAGGATCGCCCGAGTCCAGCAGGTTGAGGCAGCAGTGGCCACGAGCGTGCCACTGCACTCCAGTCTGGGCAACAGAGACTCCAACTCAAAAACCAAATACAACAAAAGACCTTAATGGATGGGTTAAACAGTTTGAAAGAGAAGTAGTGAACTAGAAGTCTGAATAAATCATTGAGAATGCAGCATAGGGGCCAATAAAAGGTGGGAAATAGAGAAAACACATGGATAAGGGTGGAAAGGTCTATCCAACACTGATTCAGAGTTCCAAAGGAAAAAGAGAATGTGGCAAAAATATTTGAAAAGATAATGGTTATCAAAAAGTCAGATCTGAAGAAAGTTACTGATCCACAGCTTTTTTTTTTTTTTTTTGGAGTCTGAGTCTCACTCTGTTGCCCAGGCTGGAGTGCAGTGGCACGCTCATGGCCACCGCAGCTTTGACCTGCTGGGCTCAGGTGATCCTTCCAAGTAGCTGGAACTACAGGCACGTGCCACACCTGGCTATTTTTTGAGTTATTGTAGAGATAAGGTCTTGCCATGTTGCTCAGGTTTGTCTCAAACCCCTGAACTCAAGCAATCCTCTTGCCTCCACCTCCCAAAGTGGTGGGATTACAGGCTTGAGCCACCATGCCCAGCTGATTTAAGCATCTTAAACAGGATAAATAAAAAGATACCTGCACCTAGGCACATCTTAGCTAATAAACATTAAACAAGGTTAGCCCTAAGCTAATAACTGTTGAAGCTGTGTGATGGAGTCATTCATGATGCTGTGCTGTTGTCTACTTGTGCATATGTTTAAAATTTGTATGAAGATTTTCAAAAGAGTAAAAGTAAAATAAAGATGCATTTCTACAGAAACTGTCACTCCCCAAACTGGTTCTAATTGCTTGAATTATTGCTCGGTCATGGTCACTGGGTCCTTTTACATGTCCTCCCAGGCTCAGACAACCACAGCTCCACATTGGTATCACTACAGGATAAAGATATTACAATGGAGGAATTCACACTTCTCAGTTCTGTTGCTATGTTTGTAGCCTACGACTTGATATCTAAGTAAACTGCCAAAGGCCAGAGGCCATCCTCACAAAAGCATTTAGCTTCTAAGAAATGGTGATGGGACTGTAGCAAAGTGGTCGCAATCCAGACCATCAAAGAACCACACCTAGAAGTCAGACTCTCTATCTGGACATTTTTAGGGTCAACTCACTGACAGGCTAGTTCTGAATGTAAGGATTATTAAACCTAATAAACTCCTGAGAGAGATGCAAAGAATAGCAACAGTGAGTTTAAAGTTTGGAACCAAAAATGTATGTCAAAAAGGAAAATGATGGCAGAGTGCATTTATTCCAGAAATATTTTAATATAATCATAGTACAGTTATAAAGTCACATTCAATCCACTGAATATATTCAAGGTTTTAATAAAAATATTATACATCTTTATTCACTACCTTAATATAATTATTTGATTCTTATAGATATGACTAATCACCATATTCATTCATATTTGCACTGCTAGTCAAACATGTAAGTAAATATATGGATTATGATGTGGGGTTTCAGTCCTTTTTGATCTGAAGTCTAAGTATCAAAAGTGAATGTTTTCTATGCAACAATACGTGAATCCTAGAAAGAACAGTCAACTGGTTTAAGGCAAGATATTGAAACTTTTATACAACTTTAATTTGAAAAAAGAAATACTTTATCAAAGATACATGCCTTGACATTTAGATACCTATAGATTCATATAAAGGCAGTAATAAAAATATCAGTGCAAGTTTTACATTAGGTTCTTCAGTAGAGAAAATAATAGGTTCTTGGAGTGAACCATTATCTTCAAATCCCAAAACACTGGAAAGAAGAAAGAATTCTTCTGGTGCAGGACTTAACATGTAACATAATTATTTTTAGTCAATAAAGACACATAAGTATAAAACATTGTGATTACACATACATAAAAATTAGTGTCTTGGCCAGTTTGTTAAGCTTTTGTTTTTCAGATTTACTTTAATGTAAGCTTTTAAAAAATGTTTTAAAATCCAACCAATTTAAAGTTGATTGATAGTAGTAGTACAAAGAGGCTCCCCCTCTTTTTTTTTGGTATGGGCTGAAGATTAGCATTTCAAAAAGAAATAACTTATATTAAACTATATGTAAAACATATGTGTGTTTTAATGACCCAGGGTAGCACAAAA